TATTTAATATTTTCGTTACTTTTATGAAATCATTTATTTAAAATGATTGTGAAGGAAGAAAAGCAAAGTTAAAAAGAATTTAATAACAATATATTGAATAAAAAATGAAAAGGGCAAATTTTTGAAAAATTGCATTAGTTATTTGGCATATAGAATAAAAATAACTAAAATCAACAATGAGGAAATATACCTCTCTAATAATTTTCATCGTTCATTTCAGCAATTTTTCATTTTTTTCCAATAAAAATCGCATTTTAGCTTATGTACATTCAGTTTATACATACGCTAAAATCATATTAAAAAACTAAATGAGGGGCCGAGATAGGCTGCTTGGTAGGGTGCTGGACTCGAATCCAGAAGGCCGAAAGACTTACCGTGTACTAAATAGTGACTGGTGCACGTTAAAAAAATCGGGTCACAAAGTCCTCCTCGTTCCCATATTAATATANTATATATATATATATATATATATATAATATCTCTGGGAGTACTGGATTGGAGATTGATTGTTCTCTGGTTCAAGTCAAAATTACGATCTATGGATCCATGAATGAGTCAGCCCTATAAACGAGTGTGACGTATGGGTGTGACACAAGACGAATTCTTGGCCATAGATGGCGCAGCTAGAAAACAAGAATAATTGAATCCAATTGACTTAATGACAAACGTCAACAACAAGACTAAATGAAGCTCAAGACCTGCAAATTAAACAGCGTGTCCTAATAATATTGATAAAACGATACGATGAAAAACTCATTTATATTAACTTATTAAATATTTTTGAAAAAGTTAATAAAATTTCAATCATAAAAGATTTTCATTAAGTTTTAAATTTATCAAGCCTCGGGTTCCACAAAAAATAGGGTTCATCATTCGGGTTTCAAAGCCGAGAAAATTGGGAAACACTGAGTTGGATCATTCATCGTTATCTACAGTTCAGTACAAGGTTTCTTCCGGTACAGGTACAAGGTTTCTTCAATTTACTTCCTCTGAACAAATTCGACACAAGATTAGGCCATTATAAAAGCATAAAAAATTAAACCTCGTTTTGGGATTTTTTTTTTTTTATTTTATCCAAAAGATAGAATAAATCAAAATTCTGGAAGAGGTATTTCATTATCTACTTAAAAATTATTGTGAAAATAATAGAAAATAATAGAAATAGTCAGTTAGGTTTGTTTAGTTTTAGACCTAACATATTACTAATTAAAAAGAATCAGAAATAAGTATCGCTAATAAAATCATAGCCGGAAATGAAGTCTTCATATGTCGATAACAGTATAATAATAGTAGCGAGATAATAGTATATCATATGAATGTCTTACTTCGGATCAGTTTACACTCCCATTGGCATAGAATCTTTCGGGAGAAAAAAGAATATTCTTTTATTTTTTAAATAAATATTTCGAATGAAATTTATATCTTGGGTTTGAGAGTTAAAAATTAATGGAAAGTTTCAAAATTAAATTTCATTCTAAACCAGTAAAATAACTAAAACATTCATTTTTCAATACTTTATTTTACATACATTTCGTGGCTTATCATTGCTTCGAGATAAAGGTTTTAATTTATAGGAAATTAAAAAATACAGTTTAACTTTTAATTTCGATTAAAAGTATTAAGAAGCAAATGACAAAAAATTTAAAGTTAAATTTTCTAATTAAAACCTAATTGAACTTACACTTAAAATGAAAAAGAAAACTATCTTTCATCACTGCCTACTCAAAATGCTGTTATTTCATTTTCGACGTAGATTTCACAATTAAAAGGCAAAATTCCGCACTTAAAAGAAAAGCATATACATTTTATCAACTTATTCCAAACTCAAATTTAGAACTAAGACTTTTTCCCGGTATATTATGATAATCAACAAGCCCTGAGTAATATTGAAAGTTATAAAGTATAATTTCACATTTTTATAGTTTAATTTTTTAAAATCAAACTAAATTTTGACAGAGGAACTTAAATCTTAGTTAGAAAGGTTAACTTTGAAGCTTACCTTGGCACATGAATAAAATATCTCATTCAAATCGGCATATGTTAATAATTCCTCAACTAAGTTGATGACACTTCTCGCTGTATTCATTCATCATAGGTTGATTGCCAGAAAATTTGATCAATTACAAAACGCCAAATGATTTTGATGGGGTTTAGAAATATTTTATTATCTTTGTGACTTACCTATTGCCTAACTATTCGTATCGTATATTTTAGCAACGTTGTGAATGGTAGTTGCAAGAAATAATTAAAATATTTAGAAAGAAATTTATATCCCATAGCAAATATTTACTGTGCAACCTATAATTAATTTAAAGAGGGGGAATCAAGAAAAGATTTAACACATTCGTTGCTGATCACGCAATAGAGCGTGATGAAATTCTTCCCAACAGTTTCTGTCAATAAAACAGACAAAGAGGTATCATGGTTAAAAGATGCATATTATCATCCAAGAGTCGTAGTGGCTCAGGGATGATGCCTCATGATGAGTTGACACAGGTTCATATCCAAGCGGTGGCAGGTTGATACGAATTCTGCCCCCGACTCGCACCGTTCACAGTACTGACGTAAAATATCTTCAGTGGTAGATTGATCATGGGTTAGAATTCTCTTGCTGTAGGGCCAACCATGGAAGGTTTTCATGGTTTGCATTATCATGTAACGTAAATGAGGGTTTGTCCCATCAAAAAGGCCTCCGTGAAAGACAGTTTGTCCCAATGCCTGATCCAGGAGTTCCCTTGTCTTCTGGGTAGGGTATAAAATTAAACGGCTACGATATTGAACATTGATAGTTGTAAACTCAGAATTGGATCGGCTGTTCAACGCCGGTTATGAAATAAGATAAAATATTATCATCCGATTATTTTTGCAGAAAATATGTTTTCTCATGACACATAATTGTTCAGTAAAATAAACTTATTGTAAAATTAAAAAACTAAAATGTGTGCTAAAATAAGAAAATTTAACTTTGATTTTATCTTTATAGATCATCATACTTCAATGATAGATATAGTATAACTACCTGCACTCGGCTGGTAGTGAACGTGTTAAATAACAATATGTAAAGTAAAACTTTATTATTAGGTGAAAATCAATAATCAAAAGTACGTATAAACTATATAAAATTAATTTTAAATTTTTTATTTTCACTCGCATATCTTTGTTTAGAGCTTACAAGCACAGTTTGCAGTCAACGGAAGCCTAATAATAAAATCATCGAACAATTAAGTTATATTTAAAATCGAAGACTAGAAGATTTATTTAAGTTTTTGTAATGTGACAAAAGCATGAAGATGAATAAAAAATTTTGATAATAATGATAAAAAAAATTGGAGAGATTTCATGGTTTTGCCCTGCATTTTTGATGCATGCAATTAAAATATATATATGTCAAAAAATACTTTTAAATTTGTATTTATACCTGAAATATCTTAGTACGAAATGAAAATGCCGTTTTTTATTCAAAATTTTGAATAGATTCTTATTTTAAGTTTATTAAAGAAAATGTTAGTTAATTCTTCCTAAACAGATTGATACTCTACAGATTTAACTTCAAATTTTGCGTCTTAAAATACCCATATAAAAATATGTCAGATGCCGAAAAATTGCTTGCAAGGCTATGTAAGTGACTGCATTTCATAAATTAAAATTTCATCAATGAAAATAGTACGGTAGTTTAATAGTAAAATTCGCAATTGTCATGAAAATAATAGTAATAAAATGTTTATTTTCCACTTAGAGAATCGAGTTTAACATTCCTGATCTGAACAAATAGATTTATTATACTTTAAAGGAATATTTTATTATAGTCAATCTAACATTTGACTAAACTTGACAAAATTACATTGATCTATAATAAATAACTTATATCAGTTTCAGTATTTTGATTTTGTTCCAGTTAGTATTCGAATTTAAAGGATTCAGTGTGTAAAGGTTTTTAATTGAACTTTAAAATTTATTCAATTATTTAATTTAATAATAATAATAATAAATAATAATAATATCTATATATATATGGTCGCTATAGCCGACAAGTACCTTAAAATTTTTATTTTAAGATACTTATAACAACAAAGGTATTTATCGGTATTAGGTTGATTAAAGAAATAGAAGGTAGATATTAATGTCATAAGTTCCGGAGGTGGCTATATTACGTCAAATAGACTCAAAATTATGTAACGTAACGGTGTGACAGACTGTGTCTGACACATTGAAGGTACATTTCAATGATAACGGATAAAATGGGAGATGTGCTAAATGCAATGAGTATTACATACTGAAAGGTAATATTAAATATGCTAAAAATTGCGTGTGACAAAAAGAAAAGAAAAAAAAATTAGGGGTATTTCGCTCGATATTGTGAAACCCAAGTTTACCGGAAAATTCATTAAAGTCGGTATTTTGAAAATTCAAAAGTAGTAGATTTAAAGTGCTACATTGTTATATTTGATATGCAGATGTTTAATATAACATGAATTTCGGTAATCTACGTGATACATGCACATACATTGTTTAAATATAATTGAAACGCAGAATTTCAAACATTGTTTATGACATATTTTGACAAGTTTCAAAAGATGACGATAGTTCGAAAGAAAGCCTAATTAAATATTAATTAAGGAATACATAAATAAATAAATTACATAATAAATACATAAATAATAATACATAATAAATAATAATTACATAATAATACATAAATAAATAAATAAATAAAATAGCTGAAACTCGCTTTAAAAAAAACACATGCATAAAATACCTTAAGACAAACTGTGATTTATAGTATTTTTTAAAATTCCTTTAGAAATTATTTAGATTAATTTTCTTTGAAGAAAAAAAATGCCATTTAATTTAGTTTTGCTTAAATATATTTTGCGATCTCAATTAAAAATAATTCGACGATCAAACGAGATGTTTTTTTTAAACGAAATTAAAAAGAATTTAGCAGAGCAAATGCATTTTTAATAAATTGGAAATTTAATTACGTTCAACAAGAAACTCACCTTCGAATAAAATGAAGACATTCATTCAATAAATTTATTCTTTTCCTTATCTTCGACCACGTTTTAGAATCATCTTCTCTTGTCCCACCTTTCTCAACCAACTGCTACTTGCTATTTTGTGAATAAAAATAAACATTTGGAGTTTAAGTAAACAAAAACAATAATCAGGTAAGCATAAATGCTTTCATTTGAAAAGTGAAACCGATCTTAAAACATTCTTTTATTTTGTTTTTTCAACCGCATCTTCCAATTCCGACTCGCATCGTCTGCATCAGGAGATATTTTTGGGGACACGGGATCTGGCCACCTTCGTTTAATTCCATGATGCGAATCACGTGATATCGAATTCGAGTACAACGCCATCTGACGTGGAGAGATGGAATAAGAACAACATCCAATTTGGCATCTTCCAAGCGATTGGATTGACTTTTATGTACAATTTCGTGAGAGTGGATAAAATGAGTAAAATAAAAATAAGTTTCTACTCAATTCAGTAAAAAAGCAACAACAAATCCTTTCGTTTGTTTCGGTTTACTTTTTGAAGGTAGTTATTTCGATTGAGCACTGTTTCGCTTTCGTATCAGTGAAAGTTCTTTTGCGCTGCAGAAAATTACTGGGGTTGTATTGTGAACATTCGATTCGAGAGAAGGATTACAGTTCCCGGTAATTGGATGGGATGATGCAGCAAAACAAATGGACAAGAAAAAGTTTTTATTATTTTTATTTATTTTTTGCATAGGCATGTTAGGCTAAAGGCGATCCAACAATGAAATATAGCGATAACAAACTAGAAAATTATTTTTGAACATCTAAATTTTTTTCCCCGTTGAGATTATCCAAATTGTAACGTTAATATAATAAGCGGGAAAATTTTAAGTATTTTTTATGATATAGTGCCGGAAAATTTTTTTGATAAGGTCAATGCAGCTACAAGTTTCCTTTAGAAAAATAATAAATAAATAAAAAATAAAAACTTGTAGGTGCCTTTATTGTATAAATAATCCACAAAATAAGACTTTATTTCACAATCATTAAAAAACTGTGTTGTTCAAAAACTTACCAAAAGCAATTAAAGCTAAACAGTGGACATTAAAAACAAACTTTTTTTTATCTTCTTTATACAAATTTTCTGTGTTCATTAGAAATTAGCTGAATAATTAACTATTCAAATAGAAGATTCTTGGTGTATAAGCTTAGTGCAAAATGAGGGCACTAATTAAAAATGTCCCTTTCACTATAATGATTGTGTGAGTAATTTTTTTTAATTTGATCACTAATACGATTTAGAATAAATGTTAAATAAAATATTTTTAAAAATACACAGTGCAAGGCAAAAAATAAATAAAATAATAACAATTAATAAAATTAAAATTGAAAAGATTTTTTATGCCCGTTCTGTATTTGATCATTTATTTAATAATCATACGTTATTGACCTATTGCAAAGGGGGGGGGGGTTGTATAATAATTGGATTTAAAAAATTTTATTTAAATTTTTTTATTGCATTAATTTTTTTTGTAAAATTATTGAAGTTTTCGTAACACGCCGGAGGTTATTATAGCTCTTGATTATATAAACGTTAAACCTCGAATTATGGAAAGTTTTTGTATAATATGAAACAATATTATTAAAAAAATATTAAAAAGTCTAGCGCAATACTAAAACTACGCTATAGACATAAAAGCTGTTCAATTTTTTAATTAAATCGGATAATAATCAAGGAAGTTAATAAATCGTCAGATTTTTGAACTATTGGTTCATTTAGTTTAATTTATTAATTTAATTAAATGTATTTTGAAATTTAATTTTAAACAAGCTTAATAGTTTTTTAAAAAAGATAGGCGATTTTTTTTATTGTAATATTCAATTACTTACTTTAACAAAGAAACCTCTTTTTAAGAAACTCTCAGTGGTGATTTCTTTTAAAAGGGCTCAAATTTTCCAGATAGCCACTTCCCTTATTTCGTGGGTTGAAAATTCAAACACGTCACGTTTTTGTGTCTTATTTTGTGCTTAAAATATCTGCGCCAATTTATAAGCACATTTAAGTGCGAGAAATTCCGATTAGATTAAAAGTCATTAATTTCAATTTTTTCTTCTCAAGGCCTGAACTCGGCTTTAATTTAACAAAATTGGGCTTTAGCAATTTTCAATTTTATTTAAGTAAAAATATTGACGGACAAATTTTAATTTTGAAAAATAAAAATATTAATATTCATTTAATGTTCATTATGTTCTTTACGATATTCACATCATTAAAAAATTTCCTCCTCGGTCATCTTTCTTTTGATCTTCTTTATGAGAAAAACGAAAGAAATAAAATAAAAATAAAAAAAAGCTTAAAAATTGCTTTCCACCACTTTTTTTTTTAACATAAGTTCTTAGAGAGTATTCTTCGTTAGGAGGAGAAATAACTTCTGCTTTTCCTCCCACCCCCATTTCGTTCTTAACAGTTTTAAAACGTCGGGGTGAAAATAGCCTCGCTCCATTATTTTGATGGAATTCTTTACCGTGATTCCCTTCAATAAAATAACCACTTTCAGATTTTCTTGCCGGAAAACCGAAAATTGGGTTTGAGATTTGTCTTTTTTTTCCTTCCTAAAATTCTTTACCAATCATTTCAACGCCAAAAGTTTGCAAAAATGTTCTCTCATGCTTTTTTTTTTCCGGCTCATTTTTATCGTTTTTTTCCTTCTTCTTCTTTTTAAAGAAATAGTTGAAATAATAAAATCGTCTGCAGGAAAGAACGTAATTCAAATGAGTAGATATGAAATATTGCATAATTACATTGAAATCATAGTAATTTTTATTCGAAAAGTTCACATTCTTATCATTAAAAATCAAGACTACTGAAGTCCAATTAAAATTACTTACTATGAATTCATGAAGATTGGCATAGTCATGTGCATATATGGCAACGTTACTTTTAAAAAGTAACGAGTAAAAGTACAAGTATTTTTAAAAAAAGTAACGAGTAAAAAGTAAAAAGTTCTTACTTTAAAAAGTAACGAGTAAAAAGTACAAGTAAAAGTACAAGTACTAAGCAAAAAAAGTAACGATTTAAAAGTACATTTCTAGGAAATCGAAAATTCAAAGTAACCTAAAATTTTATTGAATAATATTCTTATGTTCTTTAATGTTTTTGCAAAATTGTTGTTATTTATTTAATTATTTTTAATTTTGAAAGTTATGGACATTAATTTATTTTTAAATTCGGAAGAATATTATAATATAATTTTATAATATAATCGTATAATATAATTTTAAAATCAAATATAATTTTAATATCAAACTTTTTATGGATTTGCACGAAAAAGAAATTTTATCTATTGATTTTAATTTTTAGTTTATTATTTTTATTTATTTAAATTACCATTGATTTAAAATTGTTTTACTCTATAGAAACGCGTTTTAAAAGCACAAACATAAACAAAGCAAACACGGGGTTTCAGATAGCTTTGTGATCTTTGAGCTAGTAAAAAATAATTGAATGTGCAGTATAAGTTGAAACAGAAGGTATTTAAACACGAAGTTAGCTGTGAATGCATATATATTGCACATTAATTTTATAAATTAAAAAAACATAAGCATTTTTTTTTAATTTAATTGTTTTTTCTTTTTTTTTTCTTTAGAAAGTTTACCGAGTTTTAGAAAAAAGTAACGATTTCATTCGATATTTCCGTTACAAATACTTGTACTTTTTCCCTAAAAAAGTAACGAAAGTACAAGTAAAAGTACTAAATTTAAAAAGTAACGAAGTACAAGTAAAAGTACGTACTTTTTACTTGTTCCGGCGGTACAAGTAACGAAAGTAAAAGTACTGCCATATATGGTCATGTGCCACCCGACTCAACTTATTATATAACATACCCTACGTAGTTTATGTGGTTAGAGTCACCTAGTCGGTGTGGTGGATTGAGTTTATGTGAAGTATTGTTTTTACCGGGATTCGATTCCCCGTACTAAAGGCTATTTGTATCTCTGATCGTGTTTTAATGACTTAGAATTCAATCTACTGTACCGTTTTCAGAGCTGGAAATGCTCAAGAACTTTCGGGTGGTTAGAGTAATGAGCGTGGTGCGGGGAACGGGTTATTAAAACTACCATTTATCCTTTTATTTATATTGTAGTAGAGTAAGACATCCTTGCGTCTGTATTATATCTCGAACCTCATTAAGGATGATACCAAGATCGTTCTATATCGCCCATTAGGGTAGCTGTAACGGAGTATTTGTCTTGACTTCTACGAATGTGTAAACCAGGGATGTGCAAACTTTTTTGGTCGAGGGCAAATAAACGAAGAAAATAAGTTTGGTGGGCCAAGTAAAAACTTCAAAGATGGAATAGCGATTTGCAAGTTTTAATTTAAATATTTAATGAGATGAATGAAATTGCGATTTCATTTTTAAAAGAAGTTTATATTGAGGTTCCAAGTGAGATGTACTTATTTTAATGCTCAAAGCAAATGTTTGTCTGTTAGTTTAGTTTTGAAATGATTTTTTCAAAGGTTTATAATTGAAAACACTTGTTCACATATATAAGATGAAGTAAACATAGCACTGATTTTCTGGGCATGAATATTAAATTTGGGAAACTGGCTTTTCGTAATGATTTGTAAAACTCTAACAACTGTTTCAAATGGCGCCAATCTACGGCAGGCTATTCTATAAAGAACTTTTGCTTTCAACAATTTACCAATTTAAGCTGCATATTTCCATCAATTTATGTTTTGTAGAACAAAAATAGCGAAAGTAAAAAGGTCTTAAATACTTTGTTAAAACAGAAGGAACAAAAATAGCTTTAAACAAAGTAGACAAGAAAATGGATGTTATTGTTTATATTCGTCACAGATCGGCTAGTTAAAATTCTATCCGCGGGCCGGATAAAATCTTACGGCGGGCCACAGTTAACCCGCGGGCCGTAGTTTGTCCATCCCTGGTGTAAACCATAAGAATCAGAAGAGGTTTTTGGATAATTGGCAAAAAATGTTTGATGAACGCGAACACGATGAACTGCATAAATTAACTATTATCAACACTATATGTTGATAGAAAATTTTGGACATACGCAATGGATCTATAATAAGTAAATTTTAAATCCAAAATATGGGTTTATTGTGAGTAAACTCTCGATATAAATAATGGATTCATTATAGGTAAATTCCAGATACAGGTTATAGATTTATTTAAAGTAAATTCTAAACATAAACAATGGATTTATTCATCAAAATAAAGGACGAAATCTAGATATTCCTTTTATAGATAAATTCCAGTTATGAAGCATGGATTCATTTAAAGTAAATTCCTAATATAAAGAATAGATT